GGCACCGGTCTCTTGAGCAGGAAGGATCTGATCAGGAGGCGGAATAGTGCCCGGTGATGATTCGTCGGTTTGGAGATGAGATTGAGAAAGGGAAGTGGAATCGGAAGGAGGTGGAGAAGAAACGCCGTTGATCTGACCAGTGATAAAGGCTAAACGATCAGATCCTCTTTCTAAGATCTTCCTCCTCCTTGCTTCTCTGCTATTCGACGCCATTGCTACCGGAATTTTTTTTCTTAGTCTTCGGAGCGAAGAAAGGAAACCAGTTTCTCGACGGAGGAATATACAAACGCCGTGTCCGTGATATCGTGTGGGTGTTGTGAGCTTGGTCCTTTTAAAACGCGAATTTGAAATAACTTTTTCCCAAACGCGAGATCACCGTTTGGAGAGTAATGGGCTTAACGGACCAACTTAAGCCCAATTGCCTCCAATTACTACTAATTGGAAATTTGTAATATACCACCAAAAATGTAAAACTACCCTAAAGAAATGAAATTTATAAGAATTGTATTCAATTTCTTATATGTGAAAAAAAACTATAAGAATTCGGTCTGTGGTTTTCTTCATAGTGTTAGCAGTAACTATATCTCTCCAATCAGAGGAGCCAAGCTGTCCAATCTTGTTTTGATTGATCAAAATGCAAGCTTCGAATCAAAGTTTCGCGTTATCCTGGATATCAACTCCAACATGAATCTTCCTCACTCTGGAGGATTTGGAAGAGTTTGAATGAACTACTCTATCAACGAAAAGGAAACCAATGGCATACTGATTTACGGAAACCAATTGATGATACTCATGAATAGAGTACGGTCTTTCACAATCATTCTTCGAATTGTCTTTATTCAAATCAGGTGAAGCCTTCAGTGACTTCAAATTTGTGGAAGAGATCACAAATTGGAAATGTAACTATGATTGTCGTTATCGCATTGATGAATCTTAAATCGGAGCCTGGATTGTGCGTGATGTTGATGGTTTCTATAAGGAAGCAGGACGAAGCAAATGTATAATTGTTACGTCTATGCTGGAATAAGATTTTCAAACTATATTGATGGCTTTACAACGAGCATGGATTCGTGGATATCGTAATATCGAATTTGAAGGAGATAATCAACAGGTTCAAAATCTACTCATTGGTAAGGAGATGCATTTTGGTGTACATAATTGGATCCGATAAATCAAAGTGTGGTTTCAAAGTTTGAAGATGTTCGATTTCTTTGGACATCCCGAGTCAACAATAAAGCGGTGGATCGATTAGCAAAAGAACCTTTAGATCTTCATGAACAATTTGTTGCTCTGTTTATGTTCCAACTTATTTTGTACAATTCCTCCATGAGGATCATACTCTATTTTTGTTTCACTTCCTAATTTTAATGAAGATGTTAAAAAAAAAGAGACTATATCTTTCCAATCATACATTGTAATGAAATTTAGTAGGAATGCAAAAATAAATGTGGAAATCAGTTAATCATATTTTACCACATGCTGAGTATTTTCTTTTTTTTTCCCAATGTTGAGCCTTCTTTTTCCTCTTAAGCTGAAGGATAAAAAAATTGGTATACCAAAACAAAATATATGAGTTCTAGAA